AGTGCAGGCTGCTAAGTGACTGTGGGCCACGCCAGATGCGGAGCTTGTAGAAGGTTATTTTGTGCACACAATGCCGGCTTCATCAACCTGATAGCGGTCGCTTCTTCTGTTGCTGGCAGGCGCTGACACAGGGACTTTGGATAGTTTGGTGGGACCTTGTAGATCACTCGGAAGGTTTTGTTGGGGTCCACCCGATGGGAACTCCTGAAAAGCCGTCTTGACCAAGCCGTTTAACGAACCTTCCCAGCAGCCAGAGTTCGCGTATTATTCTCAACCAACCCAATCATACATCATGGGGAAAGTAAGGATAGGTTACCAGCTCAGACCATCTCTATGTGCATCTTCTCCCTCACTTGCTCCTTTTGAGCAGGTTATATTGGTCTCACGTGTCGGTGCTTATTGAAAAGAATAAAGAAACATTTCCCGGTATGGCTGATAGAAGGTGAAGTCAGGGCTATAAGGAGCTCTATTCGGGCGCATATGATTGATTCCGGACATCGGTTGGACCCTAACGAAGCTTTACAAGGTCCCACCAAACTATCAAAAGTCCCTGGTTCAGCGCCTGCTAGCAACAGCAGAAACCACCGCTATCAGGTTGACGAAGCCAGCGTTTTGTGCACAAAATAACCTCTTACAAGCTCCGCATCTGGCGTGGCCCACAGTCACCTAGCGGCATGCACTCGTCCGCGTTCTGTTTGTCTCCCTCACCTTTTCCCTCCCTTTGACTGACTCCAACAAAACCTGCCCATTTAATCAAACCTTCCCCAATTCCCACGACTCACTTGTATGAAAAGGCGAAAACGTTTTAACTTGTACCCCGTTCCCTTATAAAGGTGCTGGACCGACGATAATTTATCGAAAGCATGTGTACGCTCGCCAAACTAGTCTTCCGACGTCTCTGGTAGAAATTTTCATAACTCTTAAGCAGCCCAAAGAAATTTAATCGTGAATTTTGACCCCTAGATGACGCACAGCACCGATGTGAGTGTGGCTGCCAAAATATTTGGCAAATGAGGAACTCCGGGACCCAACGCGTGAACTGTTGGCTTACTGAGACTGCAGGAAAAATACCATTAAACGGCCTGACTTTACTAGGGGAAAAATTGTGGAAGAATGTATTCAAAGTAAGCGGAAAACCTCACCAGCAAGGAAGTCACCCGGTCTTCCAGAAGGTGAACCCTCCCCTCCAGCTGCTCACACTCATGCATCGTTTCTTCGTTTCGTGCCTCCAGCTCCTCCTTTTTCGCCTGAAGCTCGCATATTCGCGCGGCCAACTTTTGCTGCTTCTCCACAAATGTCTGAGTGTGCCTGAGTTGGA